AATATGTATCTCCTATATATATAAGGAATTTANTGTTTCATTGTGGGCCCAGGATGTGTTTGGGGAAAGAGATGGCTTATGTGCAGATGAAGTCAGTTGCTGCGGCTGTGATGTATAGGTTTGAGATTGAGGCCGTTGATGGTGGAGGGACTGTAGAGAGCATGATGAACCCGCCTTACAGTTTATCACTTCTTCTTAAGATGAGAGGTGGATTGCTTGTGACACTAAAGAGAAGGCAACTGCCCAACCACCATAAGTTGGGATAAGGATTGTGATCCTAAGAGTCAACCAAAAACTACTACATTGCTCGTATTAGTGGAGTATGAAAAGGTTAGAAACGTAATTTTAAGTTTATGCATATAGAAATTATTTTCATAATTTGAACACTTGTATGTAAATCACGGAACAATATAGTAGGTTTATCAATGAATCAAATTTTGATCCGAATCCAATTAGTCGAATATGAATTAATAATTTTTATCGATTATCCGAATCTGAATCCGAATTCGAATACATTATATTATATTTAGTAGATTCAGATTTTGATTTATCAAATCCAATCCGTTAACAATCTGATATGAGTAATATATATCTTCTATTTTTATATTTTATATCACGTGCGATTATATCCATCGACATCTTTTCATCTCGCACGATTGTTTACTACTGCATTCTTCTTCCATATTTATAACTAAAATTGAGGTTGACATATTTATTTTATGTTGTTTGTTAAGACTTAAAATGAGTAAGTATTATAATTTTTTTTTTGTGCGAAGTTAAATTTGTCATAATTTGTGAGATATTTGTAGGTTTATTTTATTTTGTACATAAATAGAACGGTTCGGATTTTTGGACAAGATATCCAAAAACTAAAAAATTCAGATATGAATCAAAATTTCAGACCCATCGAATAATCAGAATACATAAATTGTAAACGAATACGAATGATAGAAGCTGGTCCATATTCAATCGATCGATAGGTGTATATACGAGGTGGGGAGATCTTAGGAGAAGATGGAGTTCAACTTATTTGTATGCATTTGTATATATTTTTTATATAAATACTTTAACATTATATTTGTACAATTCCCATGGGTTCTTTGATAACCTTTTTCATCGCTTAAAATTAAAATATTATTCTATACTTTCTCAATTAAGTACGAATAACAATAAAAAATTTTCATTATTTTTTAAATTTAGTTAGTTTTTAAAGATCAATAATATTGTTATAATCTAATCAGTTGATCTAATTCATTGTTACTCTTAGATTGATAATGGATGCCGAATGAGTCACTTGTAATCTTACAGCGGCAAATGATTGAACTCACAAATTAAGTCACTAAGATGGATTTAAGTAGCATTATTTTTAAAAATTGGCTAAAATTTTTATCATTGATATCTAATTCAGTACTTGACTAAGATAATAGACAAGTGGGTGAGATTGCTCAGGAGTAGTGAAGAAAAGAAAAGCCACCAAGATTTTGCCACGTCAAAGTTTGACTTAGTAGCAGAGAATGGAATCCACTAGGAACCCGCAACACTGTAAGTCTTAGGTGGCATCGGCTGCATATTATCAAAGCCATCAAAATCAGAAATTAAAGCAAAGAAAAACGACTCCACTGGGGATCGAACCCAGAATCTCTGGTTTCGTAGACCAGCGCCTTATCCATTGGGCCATGGAGCCTTGCGTGCTTGTTTATTAAACAAAGTATATATAAAGTAAACAGCATATTATGGATTCCCAAACTGCCCTCCATTGGACACAGATAATCTTATATCGACACATTTGTTTTTATCTCCACCACTATTAATAAGGATTTCATTTTGAAACTTCCAAAATGATAAAATATTTCTATTTTCATAAAATTTGAAATAAATCAGTAATTGGACATTGAACTCCCTATGCTTTGAGGAGTTTCAAAAATAAATAATTTTTTTTNCGAATTTTGATCCGAATCCAATTAGTCGAATATGAATTAATAATTTTTATCAATTATCCGAATCTGAATCCGAATTCGAATACATTATATTATATTTAATAGATTCAGATTTTGATTTATCAAATCCAATCCGTTAACAATCTGATCTGAATTATATATATCTTCTATTTTTATATTTTATATCACGTGCGATTATATCCATCGACATCTTTTCATCTCGCACGATTGTTTACTACTGCATTCTTCTTCCATATTTATAACTAAAATTGAGGTTGACATATTTATTTTATGTTGTTTGTTAAGACTTAAAATGAGTAAGTATTATAATTTTTTTTTTTGTGCGAAGTTAAATTTGTCATAATTTGTGAGATATTTGTAGGTTTATTTTATTTTGTACATAAATAGAACGGTTCGGATTTTTGGACAAGATATCCAAAAACTAAAAAATTCAGATATGAATCAAAATTTCAGACCCATCGAATAATCAGAATACATAAATTGTAAACGAATACGAATGATAGAAGCTTGTCCATATTCAATCGATCGATAGGTGTATATACGAGGTGGGGAGATCTTAGGAGAAGATGGAGTTCAACTTATTTGTATGCATTTGTATATATTTTTTATATAAATACTTTAACATTATATTTGTACAATTCCCATGGGTTCTTTGATAACCTTTTTCATCGCTTAAAATTAAAATATTATTCTATACTTTCTCAATTAAGTACGAATAACAATAAAAAATTTTCATTATTTTTTAAATTTAGTTAGTTTTTAAAGATCAATAATATTGTTATAATCTAATCAGTTGATCTAATTCATTGTTACTCTTAGATTGATAATGGATGCCGAATGAGTCACTTGTAATCTTACAGCGGCAAATGATTGAACTCACAAATTAAGTCACTAAGATGGATTTAAGTAGCATTATTTTTAAAAATTGGCTAAAATTTTTATCATTGATATCTAATTCAGTACTTGACTAAGATAATAGACAAGTGGGTGAGATTGCTCAGGAGTAGTGAAGAAAAGAAAAGCCACCAAGATTTTGCCACGTCAAAGTTTGACTTAGTAGCAGAGAATGGAATCCACTAGGAACCCGCAACACTGTAAGTCTTAGGTGGCATCGGCTGCATATTATCAAAGCCATCAAAATCAGAAATTAAAGCAAAGAAAAACGACTCCACTGGGGATCGAACCCAGAATCTCTGGTTTCGTAGACCAGCGCCTTATCCATTGGGCCATGGAGCCTTGCGTGCTTGTTTATTAAACAAAGTATATATAAAGTAAACAGCATATTATGGATTCCCAAACTGCCCTCCATTGGACACAGATAATCTTATATCGACACATTTGTTTTTATCTCCACCACTATTAATAAGGATTTCATTTTGAAACTTCCAAAATGATAAAATATTTCTATTTTCATAAAATTTGAAATAAATCAGTAATTGGACATTGAACTCCCTATGCTTTGAGGAGTTTCAAAAATAAATAATTTTTTTTTTTCATTTCTGTCTGGTCTATTTTCGAAATATTTTAAAGACATTTCTAAATTTTTTCTATTTCTTAGGTGACCAAAAAAATATATCGAAACGAAATTTAATCCTTTAACTATCAAAATATATTTTGGAGCAGAAGTCTTTAAATCTCCCCTCCCCAAATATTAATTATTAACTAATTAATTTTTTTTGAAAAATTAAATTTCCTCTAATCAAATTCCTTCAAATTGTTTATGTAGCCACTAATCATTTAGATTTTTCTTAAAAACAATTTTGATCTTTTTTATTTTTCATATTTTTTCTCCTCACAACCACCTATCTGAAAAGTTGGCTTAGCTGAAGCTCTAGGTGGAGATGGGAACTGGTTCCCCACTAGTAATTTACAGACCAATCCAATTTACTTTGCTATGTACGATGACGACGTTCCACACGTCCACTAGAAATTACCGTCAACCTGATAAAAATATCAATTCTTAATGTAGGAAAATAATACATAACCTAAATAAAACTTAAAAATTACAACTTAAATACAACCTGATAAAACTTGAATGATTTGGGCCCACTGAAAAATTTGATAAAACTCACTCAATAATGATATTTATTTGTGTTGTATAGCATTACTCATTCAGACGTGGACCCACAATTATCGAATATGAACTTCAACATAATAGGTTTGAATCATAATCAGATTATTTCCAAATGTTGCTGTATTAATAAAGTAGGGCATATTATATACCAAAACTACAGTGCCTTTTGCCCCCCTTTAATCTGAACATGAAGAGATCGTGAACACAATTTTTCTCACACAACACAGTGGAGAGGAGGAGGGAGGTGGTCGAATCAAACCCAGCCACCAACAAGCAATGGCCAAACTGGACCATCCCACCTCATCCTGGCCACTGAACCTTCCCCCCATCAATGGGTTCCTATCCTCTCCGTTTGAAAATTTACACCATCATCATTGGGGCAGACAAGTGAAGCAAAAATGATTTAACGCTGGATTATTGAAAATGATGACCGTTGGGAAATTTTCAAGTTGAGAGGATCCAAATAGAGAGCAATTTCGTTCTTTTGAGTCGTTTTTGAAAACCATCAGAACAAAATATACAAGCATAGATAACTATATAAACATCAGATCGTAAAAGTAGACTAGTAAACGCTAACGGCGAGCTTCAACCTTTTTGGCAACCTATTGGCGAATTTTAGCTGGCTATACACAAAGCCAACTAAAAGAAACCAATCTTGACGCTAGCCAAAGCTTTGCAAAATATTTATCCAAGTAATCCATTAAAATTAGAATACCGAAGCAAAGCAACACATGAAGGCAGTATGGAAGACCATTTCTGGTAAAACTGTTCTATATAAAAACATAAAGCACAAAACAAAAGATACAGTAAAGTATGTTCCACTTTTCAGATATCTTTGTTCTCTCAGGCGAGTTGTACAAGGAGAAAAAAAAAAGCTAAAGATAGTACCGGGCACTCACAGAATGTGATTCAGGAATACACACACACAGGTGGATTTGTCAAGCACATAGGTGGGTTACAAGGTTAGATTATTTCTTACGAGACAGTGCTGCTGCAATTCCACCAGCCAAAACTCCAACGGCAGTAGCAGCAATGCCTATGCCAATCACTCCATCTGCATTACAGAATATGAAAATTGTGGAGGCAAATAAATTTGTCATCAGTCCCTCACAGCCCAACCTGATGAAAAATAAAAGAAAAAAAAATGATTATGCATTACCTTTTTTAATTCGATCTTCAATCGTTTTCTTAAGGGTCAATGCCTGCCTCCAGTCAGGCGCAATCTACAATTCACACCCATGTTATTATGCAAATTTTAGACACAAAACTGAGAGCGAAAGGCTGCACTTTTAAATGCCTAACACACTTTTCAATCCAATACAGAGACATACACATGATAAACTTAACAAAGATCAGGTATATTATAACATACACCATTAGACTTGACCAGACAAAGATCAAATTTATGCAGCGTAATGGAAATTTAAGCACTGAAGACAGAAATCTACTATGAAATTTTGACAAAAAAACAGCAAATATAAAATTTACAACAATAACTAACGAGCTAGAACACAGAAGATCATACCTCCAAACAACGTTCAACAAGCTGTCTGCTCCTTGAATAGTCCCCACTTCTATAATACCCAACAGCCAGAAGATACATCTTTTCCCTCATTTGCAGTGGGCTACTACTGCCGGCCAAAGAAGCTGCCAATGACAAGTTTTATAAGTTATCAGCATGTGGCCTAGTTCACCACCCCAAAAGGGATAAGCGGGAGGAAAAACACACAGGGTTGTCACACCAAAAAGCAATAAAGAACAGAGGGGAGGAGGGAAGAGAAGAAGAAAAAATAAATGCTAAAAAGAAAGAAATTTGAGAAAGGGAAAAGAAGATGAAGAGGAAAACAGACAAAGAAGAAGGAGGGGGGGGGAGCCTAGTTAGCAGCAGGAGCATGCATGATGTCCAACATCAAAGGATCAAAAACAACCACAAGAGTTCTTCATACAATTTGAGCCACAGCCAAAAAAGAGAGAGAAATGGTAAATTGGTAAGTCCATGCATCTGATTATTAACCTTCAAGCATTGCTATCCCACGCTGAACATTTTCNAGAAAACGATGGATGCTACGCGGGCGGAGTCTTGAGTCGCACACCAAGAGGAAGGGAACAGAGACAGCGGAGGAATTGGATCGTTTAAATTCGGGTTGACCCAGAGATAAGATTTAAAGATAGAATTCAATATTTAATGTTATTTATATTCATGTTTGGTATGTACAAGAATAAATAACTCTTATGATAATATATTTGTATATAAAATAATTATTATATCCCTTAATTAATTTGTATATATGAGATATATAAGGATATAAATATTATTTACCTATTAAACCCCAAAACCCACAAATAAAACCCACATACTTTGGTTTCACCGGGTCACGATTAGACAAAGTTTGAAATTCTATTCATATATTTCATGATCTTCAAACATGAGTTTACTCCCAAAATCATGTTCCCAAACACCCCCAAAAAAAAAAAACTCACGTACCAAACAACTCCTAAGTAATTGGGCATTTCTTTCTGGGCAATTTATGCGGGCAGTAAGAAATTCATGAGAGATAAATTTATTATGATCTGGGTTTTAGAAATTATCAAAATTTAAACTTAAAATGTGTGAACTTATATCTTATCCCTTATTACTATTTGACCTAAGGACTAGGAAAGATCGTTTAGCTTGGGCATCAAGTAATCAGATCCTACATGAGGTGTTTGTTTGGCTGGATAAAAATAGATTGACAAGGGTGGGATTGAGTAAAATTAATCTAAGCGTCTCACACATCTTATACTAAGGGTAATCCATGTTTAAAGACACAGTAAGTAAGAAGTGAAGAATTTGGAGGAAAGAAAATTCAATGTGAATAGTATTAAGAGAAAATATTGACGACCGTTGGATGAATTTATTTGAGATTGTCGAATGAGTTTATTGAAACTTTTCTTATTTTATATTATAAATTTGACAAACTTACTTAACCTGACAATAATCAATTCAGACCTACATGAAGTCATAACCCAGTCAGATGGGTTAATTTTAATCCACCAAGAGGGTGGGATACAAAATGACTTGAAAATCCTCCAATAATTACATGGATTGCACATATCAATTAAGGACATGCTGGTAAAATCTTATTACAGCATTGTAAAATGATTACTCATTCACAATGGTATACTAATACTACAATGGGCCTCATATAATTTAAAAGTAATAGCCAAACAAAGGATTATATATAAACGAATTTTTTCCTGAACTTTGTAATCTTCATTGGATTGAGTTGGGTTTAAAATTTCAATCTTATCTCATCTAACTTTTTTAGCCAAACATANACAAAACGATGGATGCTACGCGGAGTCTTGAGTCGCACACCAAGAGGAAGGGAACAGAGACAGCGGAGGAATTGGNCTTCATTGGATTGAGTTGGGTTTAAAATTTCAATCTTATCTCATCTAACTTTTTTAGCCAAACATACCCTTAAAATTTTAAGGATGGAGTTATGGTATTGAATTTTATTTTAAGGCACAATATCATAAAATAATACTTAGTAATTTATCTTATTTTAAATTATTAATATTAAAGTANTAGAATTCAATATTTAATGTTATTTATATTCATGTTTGGTATGTATAAGAATATATAACTCTTATAATAATATATTTGTATATAAAATAATTATTATATCCCTTAATTAATTTGTATATATGAGATATATAGGGGTATAAATATTATTTACCTATTAAACCCCAAAACCCACAAATAAAACCCACATACTTTGGTTTCACCGGGTCACGATCGGACAGAGTTTGAAATTCTATTCATATATTTCATGATCTTCAAACATGAGTTTACTCCCAAAACCATGTTCCCAAACACCCCCAAAAAAAAAGAAACTCACGTACCAAACAACCCCTAAGTAATTGGGCATTTCTTTCTGGGTAATTTATGCGGGCAGTAAAAAATTCATGAGGGATAAATTTGTTATGATCTGGGTTTTAGAAATTATCAAAATTTAAACTTAAAATGTCTGAACTTATTTCTTATCCCGTATTACTATTTAACCTAAGGACTAGGAAAGATCGTTTAGCTTGGGCATCAAGTAATCAGATCCTACATGAGGTGTTTGTTTGGCTGGATAAAAATAGATTGACAAGGGTGGGATTGAGTAAAATTAATCTAAGCGTCTCACACATCTTATACTAAGGGTAATCCATGTTTAAAGACACGGTAAGTAAGAAGTGAAGAATTTGGAGGAAAGAAAATTCAATGTGAATAGTATTAAGAGAAATATTGACGACCGTTGGATGAATTTATTTGAGATTGTCGAATGAATTTATTGAAATTTTTCCTATTTTATATTATAAATTTGACAAACTTACTTAACCTGACAATAATCAATTCAGACCTACATGAAGTCATAACCCAGTCAGATGGGTTAATTTTAACCCACCAAGAGCGTGGGATACAAAATGACTTGAAAATCCTCCAATAATTACATGGATTGCACATATCAAGTAAGGGCATGCTGGTAAAATCTTATTACAGCATTGTAAAATGATTACTCATTCACAATGGTAAACTAATACTACAATGGGCCTCATATAATTTAAAAGTAATAGCCAAACAAAGGATTATATATAAACGAATTTTTTCCTGAACTTTGTAATCCGCTTCATTGGATTGAGTTGGGTTTAAAATTTCAATCATATCTCATCTAACTTTTTTAGCCAAACATACCCTTAAAATTTTAAGGATGGAGTTATGGTATTGAATTTTATTTTAAGGCACAATATCATAAAATAATACTTAGTAATTTATCTTATTTTAAATTATTAATATTAAAGTATAAATGAAAAAATAATAATATATAAATAACATAATAGAATAACAAAATTGAATACATATCACTTTATAATTAAACAAAATAATAAGGTATGATGCATATTATTATTTTTTTTAATTTTCCATTAAGGCTAATTGAGAAAAGTAATATATATCCCATTTGGGTAAATTTCTCTTAAGATTTAGAATATATAATTAAGGCTAATTCAGAGAACTTGGCTTTTCCTTTGGATTTGATTTTTACAACTAAATTTCTACTTTCACAATATCATAAAATTAAAAAAAATGGGATATTAAAATCAAAATATTCTTAACATTGAAATAAACATTTATATTGAACATACATTAGTTGTCTTTTTTGAGTGAATCATTTTACTACAACTAATTGATGAGAAGTGAACAACTATTGTTATAACTTGAGAGATATGATTGATTATAATTATTGAAATGATAATGAATCACACTTCATAGTGAGATTCACTGTGAATTTTTGTTTGAACTTACCAAAAAAAAACTATTGTTATAACTTCAAGTAGTAGCTCAAGTAATAACAGAAACAAACTATAAACTCAGAGTCCCTTAATTCAAATCTTAACAATAACTCTTGGGGTCAGACCATGAAAAATTTATTCCCTCATAAATACATACCCTCGTTCTGGTGTAAATACCCTAGTTCTGACTTGAAGTACAATTCCAATAGTATTAACTCTCTCTCTCTCTATACTCAACAATGAGTAGATAAAGAAGTAATTAAGAATCTATTTGATAACAGATGAACAGAAACAACAAATTACTAAACAAAAGTAAAACTAAAAAAGCAAAACAACAGTAGTACAACAAAAAAAAAAAGAAACAACCAACTTCTTATGTATTTGTACAACAGGATGGAATGTTAAAAAATAGTTTCTCATGAAATGAAATTCTGAAATCGTCCATTTATCTCACCATTGAACAAAAAAATGTGAATCATAACAATCCATCTAAGAGACTAGAGTTAAACTGGCAACAAATACTACACAAACACTCATTTCGGGTACCTCGTCGGACCAAAATTGTTGTCATACTTTCTGTTCATCTCAAGTCTCCATGTTCGTCCGTTTTCAATGAGAATACTACTGACAAAGTGGTTAGTCACCTGCCTCGTCGGGATCTGAGAATGCTAGAGCTTCATAGTCCTGCAAGATTCAATATAACTACCCCTAAAATGAACAATCTTGTTCGGAATTGTTAGACAAACCACCTTTTTTTGACATTTCAAACACCATCAATCTTAGACAAACTGTACAACCTCACACCCTCAAGAAGCTGTCTCGATTGCTACCACCCATTTTATTCTACACTGCAAGTGTAAAGATCAAATCTTGACAATGTTATTTATTTTTGGACAGAGAATCTTGATACTGTTAGATAGTTGCTCAATGACCAACTGAACAAAGGGTTGAAGAAACAGTCACCGTATGATTGAATTTGACCTGAAGTTGCTAAGAAATCAGCACGTTGGCATCCCATTCTTCACAGTTATATAAACTTGAATTTCACATTTTGCATTTTTCAGAAAGAGTTTGGTTTTTTCCTTCAAGAGAAGCCCCCCCCCCCCCCCCCCCCCCCCATCTATGGGTATAGTTCTTGCCTTCTCGAGCAAGCTTCCTGAGAACATTGTTCATCCTCCTCATTATGCTGCAGTAATTCCCCATTTCCACTACATAGTCGGGCCGATAATGAAGGCGATAAGGGTGTGTAGTTACCTGTATTTCCTTGGAATTTGTAAGCATGGCAATCCAGAATAATAGGGTAATCAAGCTGATACAAAGTTAGAAGATGAGTGAATTTGGAGATCTGAAAGAGAAGGAATAGATTCATAACGCACCTCTAGACGATGAACTTCTCTCAAAATCTTTGGTTACATGCAACAAGATGGTTGCAGAAAGCACGACGACAAAGCCACATATTTCTGATACAATATTTCCCACACTTTGGCCGACCCAATCCTGTTGAGGAAGGTGGGAAGATCTCATATATACACTTGGCAATTCTTTTTGACACCTATTCATGGTGAAGTGTACATTTCATAAATGGAAGCAAACCTATAACAGGAGTAATTCTATTGGCTGCATTCAAGCCATTGCATAGTCAACGCTATAGTAGCCATTTAATGATTTGCGCCTTAATAGGACTCAAGTTTGTGATGTCACTCCCAAAGAGGTGGAAAATTTATATTTTAGATTGCTTCTCAGCTACTATAACAATCCTCATAACAAAGCTACATGAAGTAAAAGGTTTGAAAGGATAGCATCACTCATGTAGGATGCTATAAGGGAATGAAATTACCTTAAACATTATCACACTAGCAAGGATCGTAAGCGTTGTGAACATGACATAATATATAGGAGAAACAACTGCAGTGTTGAATGTGTCAAGAGCCTGAAACATCAAGTAGGGGTTGTTACAGCAGTAAGTTCTGAGCAGATTAATAAGAAATAGCAAGAAATATCTGAAATGGAATTCGAAAATGCAAGAAAAAAATTACTATTGCAACAAATTTAGCTACTGACGACTGAACGGGACAAAAATAATCATTTCAATTCAACTTTTCTCATCAATAGTTCTACCAACAAAACAATTAAAAGAATCATTTCCACTGTATGCAATGCCAGTACCGTGGAGAATCACACATCTACCCTCATATCTATCAAAGCTTTCACATGGTGAGAAAACCCTTCTTAATATGCATAATAAATAAAATAGAAGAATTTTTTCCTCTTCTAGCTTTCCTTCACTGTAGCATGCTAAATAGTGTGAGAAATCTCGGGATGCAATACCTAAGCTAATTACATAAGGTATGACTATTTCTTTGAATGGCAGGGTAACTAAACTCTCTGGCACTAAGTCTACAAAACTATGAATTAGAGGGAGACCTGAGAAACAGATTGAGAACTTCGCTAAGAAAATTACAAAGGAACTTTCAATTCAGTGGTCTTTTTGAGCATCCAAGCCAATATTGCTATGTTCTGTTGCAAGAAGCTGAAAAAGGGTGCTGCAACACCCTAACCAAATGACATTTTGACAGAACAAAGTTTCCCCCCAATTTTGTTTATCAAAATAGAATGACTTTATGGATGCAACATACTTCTTGTAGAAACCTAGAAACACGTGGAATCCATTAAGTGTCATATTTCTTGTTCCAGTTAGATGTAGTTTCAAAACTTCATGGCTGGATTTAGCGAGTAGCTTGTCTGATATTTTAGAATTGGATTTAGTGAGCCTCTATATATATTAAGAAGCTTGCAAAGTGTATGGAGCAGTACATCAACAAGATAGAAGGATTTTAGCTATTGGACTCACACTAGGCCTCATTATAAATTGTTAACGCCATGCTGGTAACTCATTTCAAACAGAGGATTCTCCTACAATATCCCCTTGAAACAGTTCCCTTTCCATATAAATTTTGGATGTTAAGGGAAGACAAACTTGAAACTGAGCACAAAGTTAAGGGTTGTGGCAGAACATTTAAGATCCTGTATATAGAATATTAAACGACTCTTCATTACAGGATCTAGATCCTGTATGGAGGTGAAGTGTACTTTTTAAGCCGCAAGGTAGATCTAGATCTTCTACATTACACTTAAACAGTTTTACTCAATAAATCACATACCATGTAGGGGTGAGGGCCCACTTATAAATAGTGAGTCCCACTTGAATTCATGGTAGGTAATTTAGCATCAAGACTAACCGAGGAAAAGGATAATGGAAGGCATCTATCCCTGCAAGGCAACTTGGGAAGATGCTAGAAGCACAATCAGCGCTCATGGAGATGTATAAGGAGACATGGCCTGAAATGGAGAAATAGTGGTGGATCGGCGGCCCATTATTGTGGCAATAATGCCCTTCATCTACGGATGCTGGAGGTATATTGGCTTGATCCAACTGGAAAATCCAAATACCCAATGGTCCTGGACCATGTCAAGAGCTTGAGGTTAGGCCCACCTGGCATAATGCTCTTTAAATGCAAGCTTGACTTAAATGGCAGTCCATATTTTGCACGGTCTAATGATGTTCAGATATGGTACAGGTATCAGTCAAGCGCAAGCCTCCATTGAGAAGCCTTGGACCATATTCTAAGTCCAAGATGAAGAAGAAACTACCAATGGACTATGGAAAAGCCTTAGGCCTGAGCAAAGTACGAGGCACTGGAGGCACATATAGCCATATTCAACATATCTTTAGTTGGAATGTGACGTGTAATGTTGCAAGTGTTCATTTTGGAGCAGTACAAATGGTACTTGGATATGATGTGTCAAAAATACATATATGTGAATATGGATTCACCTAACATTAACTCTATAATACAATCTAGATTTTAATCAAATTTCATTATATCTGGGATAAGTTGTTAGTTTCAGCTGGTTCTAAGGTTGATGTCAGAACTAAAGATTAAATACTACTGTACAAGAAAGTGCATGTAATATTTGAAGGTTCAATTTTGAAGTAGTTTAAATAGGATATGATATAGCATTATGAATAAAAATGCTAAATAAATTAATAAGGTTTCTCATCAATGCATTTATGCTGAGGAAATATAAAATCTTCTTGTACACTTCAGGGATATTAGCCATTGAAAGACCCAAATCTTTAATGGCAATTGTAACCAGAGGATATTCTAAACTGCTTCATCTATGAAGCACTTTCAAAGAATTAATTTAATAGAGATTCATGTCAAGTAAATTCTCCTTGGGTCCCATTGATTAATTGGAAGAAGAAGAAACAATCTTGTAATTTTTGCACACCAATATTAGTTATTTATGATGTGGCATACAACACAATGCCAAGTATTCCTAGTTTATGACTTGCTGCCCCCTAATTAAGGATGAAGTTCACCAGACAAATTGGTCATGCCATGTGCATGGAAGTCCACTGAAATCACACAAAAATGTTTGCTACTATTTCTGATGCCACTCTATCAAAGGCATGGAAAAGTAAAGAGAGAAAGAGAGAGAGGAGAACATGGAAAATAGAGAAAACTATGAAAAAAAAACATAAAGTGGGGAATGGGAGACATGATGGTGGGAAAAGCTTTTCCATGAAAACAAGAGTTTGCAGTTCACTTTAAATGTTTAAGCATGGAGAGGCTAATCGATCTTCATTAACCTTTTGGTAGAAACAAATTACTTGCCTTGTTGAGATAATTCATCTGAGTGATGACACATGTAGCCACAACAAGCACAAAGAACCAGGTCTCTGGATAGATTAACTGGTTCTTTCCCTCAAAGGTCAATTTCAGTGAAGTTCCAAGGGCTTTGACACTCATAACCTGTGCATTCAACACAGAATTGGAAATTTAACAATCCATAAAAGGCAATAGAAACAAAAAGATTTTTCAACAAAAAACACAGAAAAACTAAAGCAGATGAGGGGTATAAAAACAAAAGTTACAACTATTGTAGGAATGCATTTGTAGATTGATTCATGATTACCAATTTCAACAACAAATTTAAGATGATTAGTTTCTCCTAAACAAATCTTCAAACTTCCCGTTCAAATTTCGTTTTAGCTAACTGGCTTACTCCACGGTTATAATTAATATTCTTTTGATAAGTTGAATACTTCATATTTAGTTGTGGAACTTAATTTCTACCAGTTTATCAAAGTTTGTTTTAAATTGCTTGAACGTTTAAACTTATAAAGGCTTTGCTTGGCGCACATCCCAAATGAGCTTCTCACGGCCAAAAGTTCATTTCTAAAAGTGTTTGTTGTTTGGTGGACCATTGACTTCGGCTTTTTGGGAGAAAAGTGCTTCTCTGAAATGGGCATTTGGAGAAGCTGGTTTTCCTTACTTCTCAGAATCCAGCTTTTTGCACTTTTCATGAAGTGGGATGGCAGCATTTAATGAAATTAAGTAGTTTCCAATAATATCCCTATTTTAATAGAACTATCGTTTTTGACCTTGTGATAGTATTACCTTGCATTCCCTGACCTATATAAATGCACATAAAACAAAAAATGATTCTCTCATAGCATTTTGTTGTACACCTTTCACCTTCTTTCTTTTTTCCTTAAGTATTTAATCAATTATAACATGTAGGATTAACATCATAGTTTATGATTGATCTCATATTTTTTACCAGTGCTATAACTTGACCTAAATTGATTCGTAACATTGTTAAATTGAGTTGCAGCCTCACATTTGTTTTTAAATCACTTTCGATATGTATGATACCAAACTCACATTTTCTAGTCTTCTCAAAAATAACAATTCTTTGTGTTGTTTATACACATGAATAGAAGATAAAAACTGCATATTTGATGTATACATATGCACACTGTTCAATGAATAATCTTTTCTAGTTTATACATCATTTTTTTTTAATCCCGAAGCTATGTCAATTTTTTAATCATGTACGCCAAATGAAATTTCACAGATTTTAATTTATATACAATAACAACCACGCGTGGACATTACTTGTATTAGTATTTATAAAAACATATTAGCTTTAAATTATAGGTTGAGGGTAGTATTGCTAAATACATATAATTGTATATTTTTAAAATTTTGTCACCACACATATTTTCAAATATAGATGCACTTCTTAATTTAAAAGTACTTCTAAAATGGACGTTCACCAAACAATTAATAGTTCTTGAAAGTTCATCTTAAAAAGTTAATCTTACAAAGTCCATCCCCAAAATGAACTTTTATTTTGATAAATTACGCCAAACGCAACCAAAATTGATTTAATCATTTTACTTATTAAAACCAAAAAAGTTTCTAAATCTTGAAACTTACATTTGAAATAAAATATCACGACTAAACTACTTTGCAGAAGTCTCTGAATGATTGAAGGCAGTCCAAACCAGTTATATGAGCTTTACTAATCAATTGTGAGGTCACAGTCACTAAGGGAACCAATCCTAGTCACTTTGTTGTATGCTGGGAAACATGAATACTATGTTGGAAAAAACATGCATTGATAATAGAATACAGAATCCCAAAAATTTAATATGCATCTGGAATTTGAATTTTACCGAGAGAGAACCCATTAGTGAACAAATGCCAGTGAAAACAAGTACATTTGTGTGCCCGCATTGAGGTGCAAAATAGAAGACCAGAATAAAGACCAACATGATAACTGATCCCACGTAGAGCAAAAAGGCTGAAAGGTAAACGCGGAAAGTCAAGTGTAGGTGTCAACATGTATATAAACGAAAAATGAAAAGAATCGGGGTATAATCTAACCTTGCTGAGTTGCCATACTCCATATTTCTTGAACAGAAGTGATAGGACGCTCCTGTGGCGCATGGATAACAATAATGACAGATCCCATAATGCACATAACGCAGCCCAAAATCCCTAGCGGATGTAACTTCTCCTTCAATATAAAGTGAGCCAATACAGCACTACAATATACCATCAAACACAAAAAACAAGCATTGAGCATATTTAATTGTTAAGAGACGGAACACAATACCAAGATGAAGCACCTGACAATAATACTTAATGCACCAAGAGGTGTAACAAGAACCGCAGGGGCAAACGCATACGCCACAAAGTTTGCAACTTCTCCTACAATCACTACATCACAAATCATATCACAAGACGATTTTGCAGAAAATCAGGGGATGGCCAAAAGCCCATTGCACATGACATTATCAGAAACCCTACCTCGTTTTAAAAAATGAAACATTGCAACTGATAAGTACATCATGATTAATTAAAAAATACCAAATAAAACCTTTAGAATGTTTCCTTGTGGTATTCAAAGAAAAAGCATTGGACAATTAAGTTCTAATGACATAATCACAAAAATGGGTATCTCAAAAGTCATCAAACTTCATAATTATAATGCCAATTACAGTTAATTTCAATTCAACGGCACACTATACAATCCACAAAGAATACAATCAAAAGTTCTCAAATTATGATTTGTTGAGGACAAATTGCAATAGCTAAATCAAAACCCAAAAAGAATGCAAAAGCCAGCAATATTCTAATAATTTTGGACTCAAAGATAATTGAACAGAGCTAAAATAGTGAGAAAGAAAAAAAATTACTCGTGATCCCATTGGCATAGCATTCCAAAAAAGAAAAAAGGCATTGGATTATCAAACTCCTATGGCATAGTATTCCAAAAATCAACAAAGCTCAGAATGATAAACCCAATGACAGTTCATACCAAATCAACGGCGCATTATACAATCCAAAAACCTTTCAAATTCAGATTTGTTGACCACAATTTGCAATAGCTAAATCAAACCCCAAAAAGCATGCAAAAGCCAGCAATATTCTAATCATTTAGGACTCAAAGATAAATGAGCAGAGCTAAAATACAGAGAAAGAAAAAAACTTACTTGTGACCATGCCCAACCACCATAGAGGCTCCAAGAGATATGAATACCCACCAACTCCTACAAACATTAGGCAAATCAAATACACACCCATTACAAAAAACCATAAACCCACAATAATGAGGTCTTGTTATAGTCTATGGAAAAATATTTGGAATTGCTATTGTGTCAACCACTACAGCTCATTAATATGTGTACAAGCAATCATGGGTCCACTTTCTTTCATCACAACCGTCATAACCGTTCATCAATTTAATATTGTTTAGTTTTCTTTGGAAATCAATGAATGTCCTTTTTGATTCATATTTGAATATATTAATATCTCATTTGATTATAACCCAATTTACATTGTTTAATAGTTTATGTAAAATTCAAATATAATTTTGCCAAGACTCAACCTAATTTATTAGTCAGATTTTTGATGGATTCAAATATGGACTATGAACATAAAAATTGTTGAATAATCCAATCAATTTTTTGATAATTATAAATAGACAGCTGCAATCATACCTCTGTATGTTAACAAGTTCAAATGAATTTAAACACATTATCTAAATTTTGATCAATAATATCAATTTATATCTAGCGCTCATCTATACTGATTCAACTTAACATTTTTTCATGGTCTAATATTAAAAAAATAAATATATTAAAATATATTAATATCTATTCTATACTACTAATAAAAGTACCTTAACATGAAAAACTAAGTATTTTAACATGAAAATTTTTGATTAACTATTTTATTCTCACAAAGAATTAAAAATGTCACTATACCCTTCCACACTTAATATCTAAATTATCATCATATTCTTATGCATTTAAATCTCCAAATTACATATAATATCACTTTCAATTATATATTCCTTATGTATAAATGTTAATTTTTATGAAATTTTTTGATTGATTATATTACTCTTAAAAAAAAAATATATGATGGGTCAAGCCCAAAATGACTCAATCTATGTGCAAAGTCCAAATCCCAATTGAGAAGCTCAACCTCATTTAAAGATTCGCCGAGCCCAACATAGCCGAAGACCAAATTAGACTATTTGCTTAGCCACGTCATCAAGGGGGAGAGCATGGGAAGCCATACCTGCACCACCGAAGGAAACGGTTCACCCTCACCATATCTTTGACCACATCTCATGAAGAGCTCCTCAACCACCTCGCTCGTTGAGAAGAGATTGGGAACTCCACCGAAATGGTTGCTTAGTCGCTGGAAAGTAGCCTCAATCTGTTAGAGGGCCACTATAAATTGCACACTCCATCAACATTTGGGAGGACACTGATTGTCTGACACCACACCTTCCTTGATTCTCTATTCTCCCTCGAAACTTGTATTCTCTATCTCCATACCCTTAAATTAATAAAGTACTCGACAACGAAAGTCATTCAAGAGTGGACGTAGGTCGAGTTGACCGAACCACTATAAATATTGTCTCCTCCAATTCTCTCTTTACTTTTACTGTATTTATTATTTACACTTGACAGGTGATGTGCAAAATTATTTTTATGCATCATCAGTTTGGCGCCGTCTATGAAAAACGACAAAATTCTCACTCTGGAACATTACATCCACTGAACTAATGGCGATCACTACCCGATCCATGAACCAACCTGAAGACAATCCTCCACGAGAGGAGAAGGTTACTCCTCCACCTACCAACTCTGTCTCGAATGCTCCAGCTTCGAATCCCCAACAAATGTTGGAGACCATGTAGCAGCTGGTGGCCCAAAACCAACAGTTACTGCAACTCATGCTTGCTGGACAAGGAGGAGTACAACTTGGAGGTGCACAACATGAAGGACCCCATACGTAGTCTTAACATATTGATATGACTGTCATTATTCGTATCAAACCAATAGCGATTCATACAAGCTAATTCTCTACGACGTCTAGATGATAAAATATAGTACAATTCGGAGGTGCACAACATGGAGGACCCCAACTTAGAGCATAACTCGGAGGTGCACAACTTGGAGGACCCCAAGGAGGAGCACAATTCGGAGGTGCACAACATGGAGGACCTCAAGGAACTCCACGCCCTGGACACCAAGGAGCACCACGCCCTGTTGCTCCACGCCTAGGCGCCCCACTTGGGGGAGCCCAACATGAGGGAGTTCCACCTCCCCCTCTTCTTGTTTCCCATGGAGAGGACCTTCATCTCCAGGAGGATGAGGGCGAGAACCAAAACATCGAGCATGGAAGTTATTTTCATGATTATTCTAGATGAGCCCCCAATCATTGGGACGAAAAATTCAAGGAAGTACAAAATCAACTGGGTGATGTCTTCAACGCCATGAAGGCACAGAGACTCGAGACTGTAGACCACCTGGTAAGGCGTACGGATACGCCTTTCAAGCTTGATGTAGCGAACTACCCCCTCCCTTAGAAGTTCAAAATGCCATTTGTGGAGACCTTTGATGGAACAAAGGATCCACTAGACCACCTTGACACTTACAAGACTTTGATGCAGCTGCACAACGTACCATACGAAATCATGTGCAGGGCATTCTCAACCACATTGAAGGGGTCTGCCCGACAGTGGTTTGCTAAGCTCTCCCCTGCCTCCATTGCCTCCTTTGTTGAGTTTAGCAAATCATTCGTTTCACATTTCATTGGAGGGCGTCGCCACCAGAAGCCTATTACGCACCTGCTTAGTATAAAACAGGACCGCGAGGAGAGCCTGAGGAGTTATCTCACTCGTTTTAACGAGGAGGTACTCCAAGTTGATGAACTCGACGACAAGGTAACGATGACCGCCTTCTTGGGTGGCCTCCGTTCATCAAGCTTCCTTTTTTCAGTAATGAAGCAACCACCAAAGAGCATGCCAGAACTATTGGTAAAAGCTCAAAGATATATGAATGCTGAGGAAATTAGCAGATTTAGGCAAGGCGAATCATCTCACAGATCACCAGAAGCTTGACCTGCCTCTGCACTATTCTCAAACAGACAGCTTATCTCCAGCTTAGCGGCTCTCTCATGGGTCGCCAAAAAGGCTTGGCCCCTACACTGTTCTCAAACAGGCAGCCTATCTCCAGTTTAGTGGCTCTCTCACGGGTCGCCAAAAAAGCTTGGCCTCTACACTGTTCTCAAACAGACAGCCTATCTCCAGCTTAGTGACTCTCTCACGGGTCACCAAAAAAACTTGGCCTCTACACTGTTTTCAAACAGATAGCCTATCTCCAGTTTAATGACTCTCTCACGGGTCACCAAAAAAACTTGGCCTCTGCACTATTCTCAAACAGGCAATCTATCTCCAGCTTAGCGGCTCTCTTGGGAGTCGCCAAAAAGTTTGGTCTCTGCACTGTTCTCAAATAGACAGTCTATCTCTAGCTTAGCGACTTTCTTGAGAGTGGCCAAAAAAGTTTTGCCTCTGCACTGTTCTCAAACGGGCAGCTTATACCTCAAGTTTTAAGACTCTCTCATGGGTCGCCAAAAGCTAGGTCTCAAAAGGTGTACCTCTCTCACAAGCAGTTCTCCAACTCTGTCTTTGCTCTCGCGCAAGTAGCCTACCTTTCTCCATGTAATTATGTGAGATATTTTAATGTTTGGAATAACATTATTTTTGTCATCGCAAGCAAGCTCTCCCAACTTAGCCTGACAGCACAGCACGGTCAAAGGAATGCGATAAGTAAAAACAAGCCTCGAGATATCTTCATCTAAACGGAATAGACTGAAAATGGTACTCACCTTAGACCCATCATCATCGAGTCCCACTTTGCCTTTGCATTTCTTCTTCCGGGGCCGTAGGGAGTAGTCTAAACCACCATTTGGGAAATCTTGAGGAACTTGAATCAGTGGAGTCACAATCGGGTCTTGATCATCAAAAGCAGCACCCAAAGCTTCCTTACCACTTGCAATGTCTAGCCCAACACTTGGAGGGGTGCCTGACTGCCTTTGCTCGCCAAAACGGAGCTGCCCAGTAGCTGGAGAGGTGACCCTTCAAAATTGCACAAAACAGCATTTTTGGCACACAAAACAGCATTTTTGGCACCAAAATCAGCACCTACGATGCCCGAATCAACGCCTGGAAAGGTGCTCAGATCTGCCCCTGCACCCAGGCTGCTGCTCAGCTCTCCTTGCTGCACCTTGGACTGATTTTTTGCACTTTTGCTGAAAAAATGTTGCTAACCAGCACTCGAACGCTGCCCAAAACAGTAGAATATGTGTTGTCCAGCGCGTTTGAGCTGTCCAGGACAGCAGAAACAGTGTCCAAACTGCTGCCCAGTGCACTTGAGCTGTCCAGGATAGCAAAACCAACGCCTAGGCAGCTGCCCAGCGTGCCTGGGCTGTCCAGGATAGCAAAATCAGCGCCCAGACAGTTGCCCAATGGGCCAGAACTGCCCCTTTTCCGCTGCCCAGCTTGTCTAGGAAGTCCATCTTTTTCTCTCTGTGCCTACCCAGGTTGGGAGCCATGCCAAAAACATCAAAACCCACATGTGTAGCGCTTGAACCAGCGCCCAAAGCAGCGCTTGCACGGGCTACTGGTGCGCACGAAAGGCAGCAGCGGCTAGCGAGGATTTTTTCCCTCCTCCTCCTTCGATCCTTGCAACTTCAAATGCTCCAAGATCACTCTCCTCAGCCCTAATTTCGCCACTCCTCATGACACCAATATAGCCTCTCTATTCCACCTCCTTCAAAGCTCCAAATATCCACTTAAAAAAAAAAAAACTCCACCCAAGAATACCAACAAAATGATCTTGAGAGATTTCAAGCCTTGCCTCCCTTCTCCCAAGTCTCAATGGAATAGAAAAAACTTTGCTCACAAGAATGAGCTCTCAAGGTTCACAAGAATGGGCTCTCAAGGTTTTCAAGAAGTGGGTGTTCAACCTTAAAAGTGAGTGAAATGGGTAGAACGAAGAAGAAGACTATATTTATAGTCTAGGGTTTTTTAAAAAGAGGGAAAAAACCCAAATTGAAAATATGGGCCCTCTTTAAAATAAAGTGGGAAAGGTTTGGAGTTTGCACCAAAGTCAAAGATATACAAACGTAGAGTCAATCCCTCCTTCTCCAATTTTTCCTTGAACACGGGGCATTGGGGGGCAAATGATGGGTCAAGCCCA